TGCTGGGGGATTGAACCGCGGTCCCTGTGTTTTGCTTAGCTTAGCTTGTTCTAAGTAGGTGCTTTAGACCACTGAGCCATCTCACCAGCCCCTATGTCTTTCTTTAAATGGATGGATTCTACACATAATAAATGTGTCCTTCTGTACTAGTTTATGTCTTGTCATATTTCACTGCTTCTGAAATGCTGGTGTTCCCCATATTAAGGTCTGTGATGAGAATGTGTCTCATGCATTGCAGTGTGGCAGTTAGGCAGCGTTGTTTTTCAGTATTGTACGTAAAAGAGATCCAGCTAATAATAAGGAGTTGCCTTCAGTTAAAGAGTGTATTTAGGAACCTCTGAACCTGTTTTTTACAGGTCTGGACATTTTAACTTATGTCCCTTCATAAGTTAAAAATGAGAAGGAGGTCCTTTGTAATACACTTGATCTTAGCCAAAAGGCCAAGAAGTGATAGTGTCCTTTGTAATAGCAGGGCTGCCATGGAAGGTGAGGATGTGATGTGTTTCAATTCCAGGACACTTGTCCCCCACGGAAACGGATGGCGATATGCTTGGCTACGACCTGTACAGCAGCGCACTGGCCGACATTCTCAGCGAGCCGACCATGCAGCCGCCCATCTGTGTGGGCCTGTATGCGCAGTGGGGCAGTGGGAAGTCCTTTTTGCTCAAGAAGCTGGAAGGTAAGGACGTGTGTGCGTGGTGCCATGTATAGCAAGGTCTGCTCCTCAGGCAAGGCTTGCCTTGTACAGGTGTGTGTTACACGGTGCACTGGGAGGGATCTGGTGTGTGTTTCCTCCCTCCTCTTGGTCCTCTGCATGGTCATTTGAGTTTTCTTTCCACAAAATAAGGAGCTATGTGAAACAGCAGGCAAGGCTTTGGCTGCATGTCTTAGTTACTTTTCTTGTTTTTGAGGTAGTACCCAACACCAGAAGTTAAAGGAGAAAAGGTTTATTTAGCTCACAGTTTGTAGAGCTTCAGGTCACAATTGACTGACTCCAAGGCAAGGCAGGGTAGCATGGCCGGGAGAAGGCCAAAGACAGCAAGTGACCACGATAGCCTACCTTTTTTTTTTTGGTAACGGGGGGTCAAACTTTTATCACATACCCCTGTCCCAGCACCACATGCACTAGATCCAGCCACCCCTGAAAAGCCTCACTTAGGACTGTGAGAGGCTTTTGGGGGACCTAGACCGAAGCCCTGGCACTGCAGATGTCTTGGTTCCTTGTACACTTGTGTGGCTGGCTGCAAGGCTGCACCTGTTTCCCTGCCACTGGTGCATGCTGTGTGGAGTCAGGACCAGGAGCCTTTGCGCCTGCAGAACAGATGCTGCTCTTAAGTTGAACCTCTCTCCAGAGTTTCCTACATAGCTCCCCTGCCCTCACATATGCACCTTGTGCTTGACAAAACTGTACTCTTCAAGAACAGGTTTTGGTGCTGTATATAGAAATTTGCCTCATTTTATAGGACAAATCACTTATGTCAGGCTTATTTGGGCTTAGTAGATCTCTGCTTTGAGAACTGATCTTGTTTGTGTACATGTGGTGCTGGAGGTGGAATCCAGGGCCTTCACACTGAGCTGTGTCCTCATTCCCTTTTTTATTTTTCATTTTGAGACAGGGTCTCAAAACAGGTGCTAAGTTGTCCAGGCAGGATTTGAACTTTCAACCATCCTGCCTTTCCTGCCTCAGCCGCCAGAGTGCTGGGATTACAGGTGTACACCACCACACACTTGCCAGGCAGGTACACGTGGGATTACAGGTATACACTACCATGCCTAGCTGAGAGCTCTGGTCCTTGAACACAGTGTAGGTAGAGGCTCCCCCTGATTGACAAATCAGAGAGGCTCGGGGAAGATAATGTATTTTGAAGACAGAGGCTACTGTCTTGGTTTCTGCCTACAGAAACAATTCATTGTTGCTTCGCAGCCACAGGAAGCCAAGATCAGCCCAGGGCTGCCCTGTGGTGTTGCACAGCCTCAGTGTGCAGCGAGTCAGCGCGTAGAAGGGTAGGAGGGGTGTCTGAGCATTGAGTAAGTGCCCAGGAAGTTTATGTTGAAAATGTGAAGACTGCAAATCCAGTGGATGAAGTGTCTGTGTGACTTCCTCCCCCAGATGAAATGAAGACCTTCGCAGGACAGCAGATTGAGCCTCTGTTTCAGTTTTCCTGGCTGATCGTGCTCCTGACACTGCTGCTGTGCGGCGCAGTCGGCTTAGTGTTCACCTTCACTCTTGACCTGAACCTGGGCGTCGCCGTGTCCCTGAGCTGCCTGGCTCTCCTGTACATATTTTTAGGTGAGTACTCACTCTCCTTCTTCTGCAAAAGTAGAGAAAACACTGCTCGTGTCCTGGCTAAAATGTTATCCATTTCTGTCTTTCAACATCAACATGTGATTTTGATAATTGACTGAGAAAACAGGTTGTTTTGCTATTTTATAAGGCAAAAAATTCATGTGATCTAAGAGAAACCAGAGTGTTCTTTTGCTATTCTGTAAAATGGCCTAGAGGAATATTCTCCCCAGATGGGCTAGAATATCTTTTAAAATTAGTTTACTATTGCTAATATTGAAGCGAGACTAATTCGTTATGCTTAGTCTTTTACATATTGATTAATGACATATTTACATCTTTTCTGAAGCCATCCCTGGCATGCCCTGGAATACTTTGAGATGAGTATAATTTTTATTTTGTCTAAAAGCAAAGACAGGGACCAGGGATATGACTCAGTGGTATAAGTGCCTGTCTGGCAAGCACAAGGTCCCAAGTTCAATTCCTGATACAAAAAAAAAAAAAAAAGAAAAGAAAAAGAGAAAGAAAACAAAACTAAAAGCAAAGAAAGGGTTGAGAATGTGGCTCAGGGGTACAGTTCTGGTCTTGCATACACAAGTCCCTGAGTTCTGTCCCCAGTAGCACACAAAAATAAATAAATAAAAGATATAATCTCTGTTCTTGGGGATGTTGTCTTTATTGTTTATTTGCTTTTTGAGACAGAGTCTCGCTTTGTAGTTCAGGCTAGCCCTGAACTGACTGCAGCCCACACTGGGCTTCAGTTCCTGCTTCAGCTTCCCCAGTGCTGGGATGACAGGTGTGCCCCCTCACACCTGGCTGGGAATGCCTTCTGTGGCCGGAAAGGAAATGGCTCCATTGTTGGAGGAGCTGGAACTTCAGCAGTTGCTCCTGGTTGCATTTGAAATAGAATATGGTTGTGTCTCTAGGGCAATATCTTTCTGATTTTATGTCATATTTGTTAGCTGACTTTCTGTTTTTCACCAGCTTGTGTGAGTGGTGGGCTTATTATCAGTTCTTCAAGGAGCAGTGATGAAATGAGGTGGGGTGCTAAAATGTTGTGTAGACATAGGCTTTACTGCTTAATGTTTGACTTTTTGAAGAAGCCTCCTGCCTGATGATTATTTTTTTTTTTTAATTTTATTTATTTATTTATTTGTGTGTGTGTATGTGTATGTGTGTGTGGCCAGCTCAGCCTACCAGGGGGCGGGGCTGGCTGGCATGTGGTGCTGGGGCATTGAACCGCGGTCCCTGTGCTTTGCGAAGCTTGTTCTAAGTAGGTGCTTTTAGACCACTGAGCCATCTCACCAGCCCCATGATGATTATTTTTTAAAAACTATACATTTCAGTTGTCATTTACTTTGGTGGACGACGAGAAGGAGAGAGCTGGAACTGGGCCTGGGTCCTCAGTACCAGGCTGGCGAGACATATTGGCTACTTGGAGCTCCTGTTCAAACTGATGTTTGTAAACCCACCCGAATTGCCAGAGCAAACCACCAAAGCATTACCCGTGAGGTGAGTTGTTCCACTGGGTGGGAATGACCTTTAAAATAAGTCAAAATTAAGTAGAATCAGCTCTTCACTTAATAAGTTGCATAAAGCATCATGTTGCTGAAAGCATTGGTACCTCCTGCCTTCAATATGAAAAAATAAAAGTGTACCCTGTCAGATACTATCTTAGTTACTTTTCTCTTGTTACTGGGACAAAATACCTGACATGCAAAATTAAGGAAGAAAAGATTTAGCTCACACTTTGTGGAGGTTTCAGTTTACACTCAGCTGGCTGCAAGGCAGGATGGCGTTCAGAGGGGCAGTGGTGAAAGACAGCAAAAGTAACAAGCAAAAGAGGGCGGAGCAAGGCATTATAACATCTTGGTGCATAAAAGGCCACCCTAGGGCATGTCCTGTACACCCTGGGCTGTAGAATTGCTGAGTTACTTAAGCTTCTAAACTTCTCAAGTTGACACGATCTCTCAACCATAACAGGCACATCATCTGCTAACCTCTTTTCCGTAAAGAAAGTTGATTTACCAGTTTCCCCTTCTCATCTGTCACTACCCTTGGGACACTCTGAACTGAGTGTCAGATCAAAGGTGGTCTCCTGGCATCAAGAGCCCAGGCCTGAGACCCAGCAACCACTTAAAGTGGAGAGGAGCCCGGGGAACCCATCTTGCTTCTCAGAGCTGTGGTTCCTTATTTCTGGAAATGTATTTACTGGCTGTCTAAGCTTAGTAGGATTCTCATCTAACAAGAAATGTATAAGAAAACTAAAAACGAAAGCCATTTAAGCCAAGAACAGAGGGAAGGTGCAGGACTCCACAGTATAATGAAAAAAAGTAAAAATGAAATAAAAATTAGAACATTAAAATCAAAACGGGTTCAGTAGGAATTAGTAAAAGAATTAAAATACATTAAAAGATTAAGCACTTTAAAATTATAATAAGATAAAATATGTTTCATTTGAGTTGAAAATAAATAGGTCAAACAGGAGGAAATATGTAAACTGTGAATGTACGAGGGAAAAATGAAGGGAAAACCGGACAGCCGTGCCCCTGCCCTCTGCCCTGCACACGTGGGTTCAGCAGCCACAGATCATGCAGCTCAGCAAGTTTGTGCAAGGCATTTCTTTAGTGTCAGGGATTAAAAACCCTGGCCAAGAGGCGTGTGGATTTGCACAGGCTCTGTGCTGCTTCTTGCAGGTACCTGACCTGAGCTTGGGATGGTTGCCCATACTGAGTGATCCTGCCGTTAGCTTGTGGGACTAAGCAGCTCTCGAACAATTCTCTTATTTTTTATTTTTTTATTTTTAGTCTTTTTGAGGTAGAGTCTCACTATGCAGTTCAGGCTGGCCTTGAGCTCACTTTGTAGCCCAGGCTGGTCCTGAACTTAAAATGATCCTCCTGTCTCAGCCTCCTGAGTGCTGGGATTATAGGTGTGCACTACCATGCTCAGCTGTGAAAACAATTTAGAATTGAGATGTTTAAAGAAAAAAATTCAAAGGAAAATTTAGAAGTCGAGTAAAATCAGAAGGAGGTACCTTTATAGAAAATAAGAAAAACACTTTAACTTGATAGCATTTTTTAAGTTGGGATAACTAAAATAGCATATAAGACTGCACAGTGTAGCACTGTGATCCCAGAATGTTTCTTTCTTCTCTTCTCTTTTCTTTCTTTCTTTTTTGGAGAGGAGGTCTCTGTGTGTGGCCCGGACTAGCCTTGGATTCACAGTGCCTCAGGCCCCTGTGCCACACCCAACCTCACAGTGCCTCAGGCC